ACAAGGTGCCCGCAGCCCGTGGTGGAGGCGAGCTCCTCTGGGGGACAGTGCTGGCCATCTTCGCGGCGTCACCCGGAGTGTTTCCATGGCTCTAAAACCCCTCTGTGGTCTCGCGGGCCCCCTCCCCTCAGCCCTGCGCCCACGCTGCTGGCCTTGTCCAGGCTGTGGTGTGGAGATGGACTCGCTGTCTGGGTCCTTTGCAGGTGGGCTTCTCTTCCTCGTCAGCACGTGGCCGGCCTCTCCGCGCCGAGGCTGCTCCGCTATCCGGGGCCTGCAGCCTGAGTGCACTCCAGTCTTCAGTGCCTCGCTGCTCGCAGCTTCTGGCAGTTTTGAATCAGCGTCTGTAAATATTGCTCTGTGAGTGTGTGAGTCTCCTGCATGCCTCAAGTAACCGCCTCTTGGTTATAACTTCTATTTAAATGCTGCTTGACAAAGTGCTGTTGCTGCGTGGAGACGTCGGTGTGAGCAGGCCACGCTCCGGCCCTCCCTGGCGTGCGCCTCATCGGGCTTTGCGTCGACATCTTGCTGGGCTCTACTTGGGACATGACCTTATTCATTCTCTGGAAGAATTTCTGTGAGATTAATATTATTTCTTCTTTACATCATTGGAAGAATTCAAATCTTCCTTTGCAGAAAGAATTTTAATTGCAAATTGTCTTTTTGCTAGAGTAGGTCTGTTTGAATTTTATATTTGATGTTTCAGTTTGGGTCAGTTGTACTTTTCAAGAAATGGTGTGTCTGTCTTAAAATTTCATAATCATTTGCATAAAGTTCATTATGGCCTCGTGTTACCCGTCTTATCTGTTCTCCAATATCAGTATCCTTGCCGTTTCTCTTCCTTGACCAGGCTTGCTAAGGACCTATCAGCTGCATTATTCTTGTCAGAGAAATAACTTTTGATTTTGCTCAGCTTCTTAATTGTACTACTAGGTAAGGTTTTTCTGTTGTTGATTTCTAATCTTAATGACTATATATGCAGGTGTGGATTTTAACTTAAGCACACCCCTGTCTGCAGCCACAGTTTGGTTATTTCTGTGCATGTCCCACTCAGTTCTTAATACTTCGAGTTCCTTTTTGGCTAATGACTTATTTGAAATCTGTTGCTTAAATTTCCAATAAGGGATTTTCTACTTCTCTTTTCAGTTAGCTCAGTGCTGGATCGAGAACACACTTGTGTTCAGTAGACCTCTGATACTTACTGACTCGCCCAGCAGCAGGTCAAGTTCAGTGAAGGTTTCACGTGTGCTCGCAAGGATGCGTCGCTGCAGGTGGGCGTGGTGGTTCTGTGTCCACGCAGCCTGGCTGTTAGGCGCTCTGCCCAGTGCTTCTGTGGTGGGGTGACTGCACTCCAGCCCTCCCGCCCCTCCCCACTTCACCTGCCCCACCTGTTGCCCATCTGACGGGCCTCCCGTTCCTGCTTTGTGGGGCTTCTGCACATACACTGCGCCTGTTGTACAAAAGGGAGCCCGCTCAGCCCCCAACTCTGAGCTTGTTTTGAATTTAGCAGGATATTCTGGAAATCACACTTCATCCGTAATAGAGATTTCCCTCCCCCCATTTTTAACGAAATATTTATCGTACTCCACTGTGGGAATTTGTACTGCAGTGTTCTCATTTACACACTTATGAAAGGGCATTTAGGTGCTTCCCAATATTTTGCGAATTTGCAGTGTAGGGGCAGGACAGAACACAGTGCAAGTTTTCTGATCCAGCAGACCGGGTAAAGGAGGAGAGAGTCCTGGAGACCTCAGCGGGTTTTCAGGCTTTTATTGGGATTGACCAGGCACACGGCAGGCAGGGGTGCTGGGGGCCGGGAAGCTGGCAGGCTCCCAGTCCCCAGCAAGTCTTCACTCTGTGTGGGCTCTCCGGCCTTCTCTCACGTTCTCTCTGCTCTTCTCATGGCTCTGCTTCTCTCTCAGCTTCTCTGCTTCTGCTGGCGTCCCTGTGACACCGCCCTTAAAAGCCCAGTCTTAGCCCAGGTGAATCCCATCTATGTATGCCCACATCCTACTCCAGGGGCCGCCATCAGGCATGCATTCGGGACCACAGGGTTCCATCGTCAATCTTAATGGCAGGAGGGCAGAAAAGCCTGATACTTTTACCTCACCCTACAGCAGTGAACTGCGGTAAACAACCTTATGCACATGTATTTTCCTATTGTGGTAAGTTGACTTGCAGGATCACTTCCTCGAAGTGAAGTTGCTGGGTCAGTAAAAAGGCTCAAGTAGGTTTAGGTGTTGCCAGTTAGAGAGGCCACCTCCCGGTGTTCCTGACGGGTGTTTCCTTCTGACAGCTCCTTCGGGAGCCCTGCCTTGTGGGCCGGGGCTGAAAGCGCCTTCTCTGAGTTTTCTCCGTGGAAGTTGTAGTCTCGCCTCCACTGTTCACGCCTGGAAGCAGCTGTCCTTGCTGCCGCCATCTGGCCTGGCCCCCGCTGGAAGCAGCGGGCCTTGAGACCAGGCCCCCGCCCTTAGCCTCCTGGCTGGTGACTACTCACTGAGCCTTCGTTGAATGGACAAAGGACTCGCATCTCACATGAAAGTTTTCAGAAGGAGACAGCACAAGTAGCGTTTCACAGGCTGTAGGGTAAAGAAAATGTCAGGCTTTTCTGCCCTTCCGCCATCAGGATAGATGATGGATCCTTGTCCTGAATGCATGCCTGATGGTGGGCACCTGGAATAGGGTGTGGGCATAGGTAGATGGGATTCAGCTGAGCTAAGACTGTGCTTTTAAGGGCGGCGTCACGGGGGGACGCCAGCAGCCCCAGCCAGCAGCAGCAGAACCTGAAGGAGAAGCCGAAGCAGAAGCAGAGAACGCCAGAGAGCCCAGATAGAGTGAAGACTTGCTGGGGGCTGGGAGGCCTGCCAGCCTCCCAGTCCCCCAGCCAGCACCCCTGCCTGCCATATGCCTGGTGAACCCCAAATAAAAGACCTGCAAAACCACTGAGGACTCTGACTCCTCCTTTACCCGGTCTGCATGGGATCAGAAAACCTGCACAGTGTCCAAGTCCTGCCCTTACAATTGGCGTAAGTCAGCAAGATCCATGCAGACGTGTATTGGAGCCCTCCGAAGACCTGGAGGGACTAAGGAGAACAGACTGTTTGCCTGTGATGACGCTGGAGGCGCCATGGCGGCACAGAAGGTGAACAACGCCCACGAGCTACAGGACGAGACCTGGCGTGAAGGAGACGCCCAAAAGGACCAGCCAACGACACCGGAAAGGACCAGCCACCAACACCGGAAAGGACCAGCCAATGACCCCTGAGGCAGCAGGCCGTTGCTGACGCAGGGAGAGGCCAATGGACTTGAACTGATGGACTTGGACTGACAATCCCGCCAGAAGGCGGAGGACCTTGCAGGTTGATATGTTTTGGGACCCTGGGGATGGAACAGTTTTGTTTGTAAACCCCAGGAGATGGGAATCTAGGGGTGGCCAGTGGGCCTAGATGGCCAAAAGCAGCCTGTGTATGCCCAGCAGCCAGGTGGAGGAGAAAAGCCAACTAAGAAAGCAAAAGCTGGTACTGATGATAAGTTGAGAAGCCCTGAGCGGCTGTTAAGCAGCCTGGGTATGCTGAAGAACTGTGAGTCTCGTAAAATCACCTGTGGGTGATGCCCTGCTCATTCTTGAGCGAGGGTGAGGAGCTGAGGAACCTGTCCTTGGGGGATGGGTGGGGAATGTGGCTTGGGGTGGAGCCCAAAACGAATGCAGAGTTTGGATCCCCGACCCATGTGATTGTGCAGTGGGTTGGCCTGAGTGCAGGGGTCTGCGAGTCGCATTGGTGGCCGTGAAGGCCGAGTGTTGGAGCGACTGCAGACAGAAACCCTGAGGGTTGGCGATTACCTCCAACAGAATAAAATTGCCAATCCCAGAGCTAGTGCATCCTGGGGGTGGATGCTGTGTGTGCCTTGTAGCCGAGACTACAGCCAGAGAAGGCCAGGAAGCCTGACGGCTCCTGGTGTGATATAGTAGATGCCGTGAGTGATTCCCCTCCCTCGTATGAGCAGTGCCTTCGGCAGCAGATTTGGTGGCTCATCTGCTGGTACCAATAATTGTCTTTTGCACTTGGTTGGTGCCCTGCCTGGACTTATGTGTTCTGTTGTATTTTGTTATATTGTATTTTGTTATATTTGATGTATTTGCTTTTGTGGGCCATGGCTGCATTGTTTGTTTGCTTAGAAAATTGCTTATATATGTATAGACTGTATGGCAGAAAACCCTGAGGGGGTGGACTGTAGGGTAAAGAAAATGTCAGGCTTTTCTGCCCTTCCGCCATCAGGATAGATGATGGATCCTTGTCCTGAATGCATGCCTGATGGTGGGCACCTGGAATAGGGTGTGGGCATAGGTAGATGGGATTCAGCTGAGCTAAGACTGTGCTTTTAAGGGCGGCGTCACGGGGGGACGCCAGCAGCCCCAGCCAGCAGCAGCAGAACCTGAAGGAGAAGCCGAAGCAGAAGCAGAGAACGCCAGAGAGCCCAGATAGAGTGAAGACTTGCTGGGGGCTGGGAGGCCTGCCAGCCTCCCAGTCCCCCAGCCAGCACCCCTGCCTGCCATATGCCTGGTGAACCCCAAATAAAAGACCTGCAAAACCACTGAGGACTCTGACTCCTCCTTTACCCGGTCTGCATGGGATCAGAAAACCTGCACCTGTGCCCATGTCCTGCCCTTACACAGGCCTTCCTGTGAGATTTTCCCACAAGTGTAAATAAAAATTTTAATAGTAAAATGGGTGGTGGTGAAACTACGCTGTGTACAGATAACACGGTGGGTTTCTGACAGAACTGCACTAGGATTCCTGGCCTTTCCCGTTGGGCCAGCAGACATTTATCCTGCCGCGCGGACAGGGTGCTGCCCTGGCCCAGGCTGCAGTGCTCTCCTGGCGGTCGGCTGCATCTCCCCGGGCTCGCCTTCACCGGAGGCCCCCAGCGCAGTGGCCAGCGCACACGCCTGCACTGCTTGACTTCATATGGTGTGACTGAAAATGACCTTTGTTCCCTTCCAGAACATGCCAGATACCTAGCATCCAGCGGGGCAATGGCGGCGGCGCACCTCGACCCAAACTTGAACCATACACCGAACTCCAGCCCCAAGACGCACCTGGGTCCCGGCGTGGAGCGCTCCCCCGGGGCGATGGAGCGCGTGTTGAAGGTCTTTCATTACTTCGAGAACAGTAGTGAGCCAGCCACCTGGGCCAGTATTATCCGGCATGGAGACGCCACCGACGTCAGGGTGAGTGCGCCGGCGGCTGCAGCGCGTGGGTGGACAAGGGAGGACGCAGCGCCTGCTGTTACTCTCGTGGAGCGAGATGCTGCCTTTGCTTGGTTACGTTTCTTCAGCCGCTATGGGACTGGCATGAGTTGTGATTGTAAAATTTCTTGGGAAAATGACTGAATAATGGATTGATCCATTAATGCCAGTGACTTGTGTGCTCCCGCCTTGAAACTCCCGGGAGGTTCAAGGAAGTCAGGCAGTGCAGACAGCCTCTGATGCTCGAGAACTAAGACAGATGTTTTCTACACATTGTAGTCTTTTTTTTTTTTTTTTTTTAATAGAGGCATGTTTTATTTATTTATTTGTTTGTTTGTTTTGTTTATACATGCACTGGGTACAGTCAGAAGCGCGGGAGGGTGAGAGAATTCACCAGAGCCAGAGCGGGGAGCAGAGCAGACAGAAGGACCGAAGGACACTGCTGAGGGGAGCAGCGGGCGGCAGGAGAGGTCTGCGCGCCATGTGGGACCCTCCTCCGGTGGCCGGGGAGCGGCCGGGGAGCGGCCAGGGATCGAACCGGCGCCGCAGAGGCCGCGGGCAGCTTCGCAACCCAGCGCTCAACCGCTGCGCCACCGGGGAGGCCCCTACACATTGTAGTCTTGAGGGGAGTTGGTGGTGGTTTCTTCAGGAGCTGTCATGTGCCTGTTGCTCTCAGTCCCTGGGCAAGGCCCAAGCTCTCCGCCCTCAGTGGTGGTAGCCAAGCGGAGGCCTTGGCTGGAAAGGGTTCTCTGGTGTCGAGCCCGCGCCATGAAGGGCACTTCGGAGCGTCTGTAGGCGGCAGTCGCTGCGAGTGAGAGGCGGGCAGCGCTGAGTGGGCGCGGATTTGCTGGACGACCCTCCTCCCCGCCCTCGTGGTCCACATTCATCTCTGCGGCGGACGGGTGCCCGGTGACCGCGCAGCACATGTTTTCTTCCCTTTCTTCTCGCAGAGATGAGTTGATTTGCTGCTCTTCATCTTACGTTGCCTTAGCTGGTTTTGAGCAAGATAAAGGGATTGGTGGAATTTAGATTTAAGGCTATAATCTTAACATTCGAGTTATTTATAATTTTGTTAGCTCTGTAATACTGCGTGCTGATTATTCAAATGGAATAATTATTAAAAGAAGAATTACTCAGGATTGAAATATGTGTTAGTGCCTAGTCATGTGGTATAATTGAAATATAATCGTCTCTGTAAACGGTTTATGGAGCTTGTGGCTGTCACTTCTGTCGTTCTGCTTTATAAGGCAGCCTCGTGATCACAGTCACTTGTGTCCGAGGCCTGCAGCCAGTATCCTCCCTTCACATTAATCCGAGGGCACACTGGAGAGAGGCCCTGCCATGTCACATGTGTGGAGCGGCTCTTAGCATATGACTGTCCTAGCCTGTACACGTCAGGTTCAGTGAAAGAGGAAACCCTTTAAACCACTGCATTAACCTTATCAAACTCCAGAGCCTTCATCCCAGAGGGGAACTGTTTAGAGATAATGAACTTCACAAGATATTTAGCAAATGTTCAAGATTTACTGTATCAGAAGAGTCACCGTGGAATCACGATGCAGAGTGTTTTACCCTCCAAGTCACGGCTCGGAGGCAGGAGTGCCGTGGAGAGAGCAGTGAGCGCTCGGCGGCGTCAGCCACGAACCGGCGGGAAAGCTTCCAGACAATGAAGGGTTCCTGTAGGGAGACGCTTTCCAGTCAGACCCAGGAGCACGCAGCAGTCACGAGGCCATGCCTGAGCCCTCTCAGGAAGCGCAGCACGAACAAATCACGTTGTCAAAACGCAGGTTATTTTATTTCAGAGTAATTGATAAATGTTTGACATTTCATCACTCACATCATTGGTTTTTAACTTAGGCAGCGAACCTTCTCAGGGCACTTTCAAAGTGCCATTTAGCAGATAAGTGACCAAGTTGAACCAAGCAAAATCATTAAATGAATTTTTAGAAACACTTAACCTTGAATGGGTGGGGCCAGGAGCACCCTAACTGCAGAGCAGTTGCGTGGCCATAATGAAGACAGTGTGTCAGGCCTGACCTATTAGATGTATCTGACATTTTAAGACTTAGGGTAGCTTCAGATAGTTGCTAATTTGTAAGAATCAGTGGCTTTCTTTTCTAGAAACATGGCTTTCTTTAATAGATACATTTATGTTACTATCAGCATCAATTAAAATCACAGGAAGCTTGAGAGCTAGTGGGGATTGTGGTCAGCACCCATGCTGGGGCAGTGGGTGCGCCTGTTTCACCCCGCAGCAGTGTCCCTGAGATGCTGCCCACTTAGGTGTTGCCAGTAGTTCCGAGGCATCCCTTTCCACAGCCCAGCATGAACTTGACCTTACCATTCAAAGCTGCCTATACCTCCCCCACCCTCACTGGGCCACAGCCTCAGGTTCGGCTGTTGTAAATGGGGTGTGCATGTTGATCTGGGGGCGAGCGGCGCATTGGTTAGGCCCCTGCACGGTAGCGTCACAGAGTTGTCAGAACTGTAGTTGAGCCGCGCCTTCCGAAATGCGGGTTTTAGATGATGATGTTAAGGTGCAGCCTGGGCTCAGCAAGCTGTCCTGGGTTCAGACAGCAGCCTCAGGACCAGTGCTCCGCGGGACCGCTGGGGGAAGCGGGCGTGCGTGGACAGCCTGGGTGGTGCAGGGGTGGAGGTACAGGGGTGCATTTGAGGTTCCTGTGCATTAGTAAAGCAAAGGGATGCACCTCTTTGTTTTTTTCAAACCTCCTTGTTCATAAAAGTACTATTTGAGACAAGATTTCTAAGTAAAATTAATTTAATTTATTTGATTTGTTTTTTACCAACGACTTCTGATAATTATCCAGAAGAACTGAATGTTGGATTATGTTTTCTGGTTTGTGATGGTCGTTTCTGGGGTATGTTTCAGGGCATCATCCAGAAGATAGTGGACAGCCACAAGGTGAAGCACGTGGCCTGCTACGGGTTCCGCCTCAGTCACCTGCGGTCCGAGGAGGTGCACTGGCTCCATCTGGACATGGGCGTCTCTAACGTGAGGGAGAAGTATGAACTCGCACACCCCCCAGAGGAGTGGAAGTAAGATTGCAACGTTTCTGGGTGACTCGGGCTTGATCTGTTTTGCATGTTAAAAATACACGCTTGGGGCTCAGTGTCTGGGCCTCCCTCTCAGTCAGGCGGTCTATACGGCTCCTGGTTGACAGAGCTGGCGGCACGGCTGCGGTGGCCTCTCTCCGCCTCAGCACGGGCAGATGGGCAGCCTCTGGCTCTCTGTGCTGGTCTTTGCCAGGCTCACTTCTCTCCTCAGCGCCACTTACTCCAGCCTCTGCTCCAATAGGCCTCCAGCCCTCACTTCCTGTCACTTCCTGTCCTGCTGGCACTTTGTGCCTTGGGCTTGATGAGGCCCTGAGGACCCCAGGCCTCAGTACCCTGTGTGGGGGCCACAGAGCTCGAGGCGTGCACCCTGGGGCCCGCGCTTGTCTAACCTGGTATTCACACTCACCCTTGGCACTGAGTCGTCTGCCCTTGGCAAGACCAAGTGTTCAAGGTGAGTTAGAAGGACGCTCTGTAGTTGGACGCCCTCGTTCTCGCCTGGTGACTTTGTCCCTATTTAATAAACCACCATCTCAGTAGGAAATCGTACATTTAGAACACTCCCTTTTGAGAGAAGTAGAACTTATAGAAATGGGTTTCTTCCACAGGGGTCCTCATTTTTATGGATAATGCTGTAGAAATAGATGGTTGTAGATTGAAAAGGGCATTCACATGTCGAACCTTCATTCCAAGCATCTAAAATGATTAGGGTAGATATTGAAAACAATACTTGTTTACGTTAATAATCTCTAGTTGGGGCCTCCCCTGGTGGCGCAGCGGTTGAGCGCTGGGCTGTGAGGCTGCCCGCAGCCTCTGCAGCGCCGGTTTGTTCCCCGGTTGCCGGCAAGGGTCCCACAAAAAAAAATCTCTAGTTGAATAGAATATTATCCCAGAGTTCATCAAAGAAATAGACTTGTATTTTCAGGCTTATCAAGTAGCCAGAACCAAGCTGACAGGAGACTGTGTGAGACTGCAGTCTCCCCCACTGTGCCTCAGTGACACGTGCTGAGTGTCAGCATGGGATTAGCAGCTGAACGCCAGTGATCTGTTACTGTGAGACACACCTCAGACAGTGGTGATCAAACACTGCTCTTTTTTTGACTAAGCAGAGAAAAGTAATTTACCTGGAGATCAAGTACTTGTGCACGCACATGTTTGCCTCAGAACTTTTCTGTCTGGTGGCTCAACAAACGTGTTTCAGAGCCACACTCGCCCTTCCCATTCTCACTGAAGTCTAAAGTTTTCTTGAATGTCATTCTGTTCTCTTCTACTTCAGTGAAAAACACATAAAAGAACGTCTCTGTCGTCTACTGAATCCTGTTCTCAGTTTATGCAGTGCAGATGGGAAAAGAATAGAGTGTGCCGGGTACTTAATAACCAGGAAAAAAAAAAAAGTTAGTGTTGCTCTGTTAAGATCCTATGAAAACAGGGGCCTCCCCGGTGGCGCAGTGGTTGAGCGCTGGGTTGCGAAGCTGCCAGCGACCTCTGCGGCGCCGGCTTGATCTCCGGCTGCTCCCCGGCCACCGGAGGAGGGTCCCACATGGCGCGCAGACCTCTCCTGCCGCCCGCTGCTCCCCTCAGCAGTGTGCTTCGGTCTTTCTGCCTGCTCTGCTCCCCACTCGGGCTCTGGTGAATTCTCTCACCCTCCCGCGCTTCTGACTGTACCCAGTGCATGTATAAACAAAACAAACAAACAAACAAATAAATAAATAAAACATGCCTCTATTAAAAAAAAAAGATCCTATGAAAACAGTCTTAAGGCAGAAAGCGTCATGAGGGAGGGGGGTAAAGAGGGCGACAGCAGCATAGTAAAGGCATATTTCACAAGAAATTTAATAAGTCTAGAAATAAATATAAAGTTTAAATTTGTAAATTCCTAAAGCTGTTCCTTTAAATGTATAAAGCAAATACGTTGACAAAAGAATAAAACTTATTTCTCCTAAAATCAAAAAGAACACAAACAATAGCAAGTAAACAGTAATTTTTAAGGAACATGTGTAACAGTTATAGCAAATACAGAGCCCTGCACACGACGGCCTCTGCACCGCACCCATTGACAAGCACATTCCTGCTTGATGTATGCTGGGGTCTGGCTCTGCTCTTATATTCGGCCTCTGACGCTGTGTGAGACTACCCCCGCTTCCTCCCATCTGTTGGGCTCTACTGTGCTGGATGGGGGAGTCTCTCCCTCCCGCTCCAGCTTTCCTCACATGGCTTCCCGGATCCTAGACTCTGCCTTGAGAAATGGGCATAGTCAGAATGTGGCTCTGACTTTATAGGCCACTCACCATATGTCTTCTACTTAGCCTTCAAATTTTGGGTGCTCAATGACCTCTTTTCCTGTCTCCTCTTTCTGGACCTGCCTCTGGTATTCGCTCAGACTGGATGGCATCAGCTCAGGGAGGCCAGTAGGCAGGGGCCCAACAGGCGGCTGACACCAGCAGGTGGTGCCACAGAAGGCAAGAAAAGCAGCTGTGCGGGGCTGTGCGTGTCAGGTGGTCTCGGGGTGGGGGTGGTTGCTGGTGGGTCTTTTGAAATGTAAATATTCAATAAAACATTGTCTTTCCTGCTCAGAAACTTCTTGCAGCTCCTCATCACACGAGGAGTCTGGCAGAGCTCCTCTGTGCCCCAGTCCTGGTCTCCCTCTGTGCCCTCCCTCCTCCCCAGCAACTGTGCTCTCTTGAAACTTGCATTTCCTATATGACTGACGTGTCCTCGAACTCCTTCCACAGATCCTCAGTTGGTTCTTCTCTCTTGCCTGTGGAGTAGTACAGCCTTCCCTCTCGTCTCTTCTTGCCTTTCCTCCTGTCCCCCTCATCACCTTAGCCCCGCTGCCTCTTACTGGTTCTTGGCCCAGCCAGGCCTGCTGGGGCGAGGCTGACCCTGCTGCTGGCCTTCCTACCCAGACTTCTCCCTCCCTTCTGTCTGGAGGCCCCCACTGCCTCAAGATTTCCACCTGCTCATTCTGTTTTTATAGACTTTTCAGTTCTGACATTGGTTGTGTGTTTATTATCTTTCTGCCCCAACAACTTTGTCTTATTTACTGCTCTATCCCTGATTCTAGTTGTGCCTGGTGTGAGCAGCACACGCAGAAAAATTTAAGTGAGAACTGAATCAGTGATACTGGAACTGGAAAGCAAGCAAGGAGGTAGAGCGATGTGATGGTACAGTAACTCATCTTCTGCTCAGGACCAAGTGTTAATAGTTCATATGGAAATAATCCTCTCATGTAACACGAGTCATTCACAGTGTGTCAGACACTTGCTAAGCTCTTGACTTACCAGAATCAGTTCATATTGTGGTGGCTTCTCAAGTAGCTTCTCTCCTTCTACCACTCCCTCGTGCATGGGTTGTGTTCCGAAGCCTAATAACTTCCCCGAGATGCTGCAGGTGTGTGACCGGCCAAGAGGAGTCAGCGCCCTGCCCTCAGCCGTGTCTCTGGGTCTGATCTGAAAACTGGAGCTGCAGCTTGTTCTCTGGAATCCTCAGGTCTCGCGAGGAGCACATGCTTGGTCGTTGCTGTTCAGGCAGGATGACCTTACAGAGGTTGGGGCTTGTCACTGGGGAGAAAGGAAGGGCTGGTTTGATAAATGGGAGTTTCTCTCCCATCCTGTCAGGGAGAGAAACAACAAAACCACATCTTCCTGAAGCAGCACACAGGAATCTACTTGCGGTGGATCAGATAAAACACATGTTAGGGGCCTCCCTGGTGGCGCAAGGGGTTAAGCGCTGCACTTTTGAAGCACTCTACAGCCTCTGTAGTATGAGTTCAGTCCCCGGCCAGCCAGGGAACAACCCACATGGCGCAGCAGATCTCTCCTTCTCCCCGCCTCTCCCCTCAGCAGTGTGTTTCAGTCAGTCTGCCTGTTCTGTTCCCTACTGTGTCCAGCGAATCCTCTTATCCCCTGCGTCTCTGGCCTGTACCCCAGCTCCTGTATGCATAAATAAATAAGTCTTTAAAAAAAAAAAAAACATGTTATTTGAACAGTTATAGGCATACCTCGTCTGCCTGAAAAGTGACATTAATGTAGCCAGCTATAATTTTTGATTTACTTATTTTTCGTAGTAATTCTTCGGGTGCTTTATGGTTTTATTGTTAAGCACATGTAAGTCTTAATCACATCTCCACCTGTGCCACCTGTTGCCAGCATATATCGCCCTTTGTCGTGTGTCTCGTCTCAACCATGTGCTTTGCTTAGGAACCCACCGCTTAGGGCTCATTTGAGTGGAGTTGTGCCTATTCCCTAGTTTGCCTCCAGGGGTCACCAGTACCCTAACCAGTACCCTAGAAAGTTTTGCCACGTATGGATCATCCAAGTCTGAGGCCATGATCACTCATCAGAAAAGTGTCCGTATTGGCCCTTGGGAGAGCTCTGACCAGGTGTCACCCCTGGCACCACCATGCCAATCACAGGAGGTTTGGGAGCACACAGCTGAGTGCTTGGCCATCAAGGGCAGGGGAGGGTTCCATCCGCTACAGAGCATGGCCCAGTGAGGCTGTCCGGCGGGTGGTGCCCAGCAGCAGGGTCTCTGGGGCTGGTCACTGCCTGCTGCCCTTGCCTGCTGGCTGACCTGTGGCTGCACCTCGCTGAGCAGGTTGTCAGTTGATTGATTAAAAGTGTTTAAAAAACTGATTTTTGTTGATTAAGCTGGTTTAAAACTGGTTCTGGTGGGTATTTGTTACCACCGCTACACAGCAATCAGTCTTGATGAGTGTGGAAATTTCTGTTTACTCTTAATGTGCATCAGACTTAAAAAGTAATACACAGAAGTTCCAAGTGTCCTCCACTGAGCTTCCTTTGATGATAAAATCTTGCCTAGCACTGCAGTTCGCGTACCCAGCATCATGCACCGACACAGTGCTGTTCACTGCAGCCTTCTGCAGTCACACTGTCTCACGTTGGAGCCCTCCTCTGGCCCTGGAGCCACTTCAGAACACCACGCTGCCCTCACAGACGTGTGTCCTTAGGTCTATCTGGCCTGGG